GGCCGGGCGGGGCGGGAGGCGAGGAGGGACCCGAGGGCCTCGCCGCCGTCGGGGCTGGCGTTCATCAGACGCCGGCCGCGTCCCGCGCCGAGCGGGGACTTTCTCCCCAGACGCTGCCCTTCCACGCAGGAGGACACTGAGGCTGCCCGCGGCGCCCTCTCGGGAGCTTCTGGGCGGGGACGGTGCTGCCGGCCGCTCCCAGTCCCAGCCCAGGCTCCTCAGGTCCGTCCTTCCTTCCCTCCCCCCATTCCCTCGGCTTGTCACCCGGCTGGAGTGCAATGGTGCCGTCGTAGCGCGCTGTAGCCTCGAACCCTTGGCCGCAGGTCATTTCTTGGTTCCCAAAGTGCCGGGATGTGGCCTGTGAGCAGGCAGACCACAATCCCCTGTCCATGGGGCTGGCCTTCTGGTGGGCGACACAGGCAGGAGACAAACAGCCCGGCACATGGCAGAGGGAGGGAAGTAAAGCTGGTGAAGAGGACAGAGGGACCGGGCGCAATCTTGAGGTGACCAGCGAGTGCCTCTCCGGGGAGTTGCCGTTTCCGCACCTGGAGCTGTGTGTCTTGGAAAACTGTTCTAGGCAGAGGAAACAGCAAGTGCAGAGGCCCTGAGGCTGGAGGGTTTACGAAATAGCAAGGCCTGGTGGCTCACACCTGTAATCCTTTGGGCCTTTGGGAGGCCGAGGCAGGAGGATCACTTGAGCCCAGGAGTTCAAAACCAGCCTGGTCTCTACAAACAAACACCAAACAAAAACAAAGCTTAAAAATGAACTGAACAGGGTGGTACCTATAATCCCAGCTACTTGGGAGGCTGAGGTCAAAGGATCACCTGAGCCCGGGAGGTTGAGGCTGCAGTGAACTGTGATCGTGCCACTGCACTCCAGCCTGAGTGACAGAGCAAGACTCTCAAAACAAAACAAAACCCAGCAAGAAGGTCAGTGTTAGCCGGGCTCGGTGGCTCAGCCTGTAATCCCACGCCTTTGGGAGGCTGAAGTGAGTGGATTGCCTGAGCCCGCAGGTTCGAGACCTCATCTCTACAATAAAATCAAAAAATCAGCCGGGCGTGGTAGCGCACGCCTGTAATTCGGATTACTGGGAAGATTGAGGCGGAAGGATCGCCGGAACCCAGCAGGTCGAGGCTGCGGTGGCCGGGAGCAGCCAATGCACTCCAGTCTGGGCGACCGAGTGAGACTCCAATTCAAAAAAAAAAAAAAAAAGAAAAAAGAAGGTCAGTGTTGCTGGGATGAGTGGTTGATGGAGAGAGTAGGAGATAATTTGAGACCAGTATTCCGTGGGCAGATCATATACTCACGGGTCCTTGTCTAAATAGAGGGAAGACCTCTGGAGAGTTTTGAAAAGATGGGTTACATTATCCTTCTGTTTTAACAGAACCAGTCTGCGTGTGTCCTTTCTTTCTATTACTTGAAATCTAAAGTTAAAAATTGGGAGGCTGGCCAGGCACAGTGGCTCAGTCTGTAATCCCAGCACTTTGGGAGGCTGCGACGAGTAGATTGCCTGAGACCATGGGTTCAAGACCAGCCCAAGCAACTTGAGACCTCTTCTCTACAATAAATCAAAAAAATAAGGCAGGGCTCAGTGGCTTAGCCTGTAATCCCAGCACTTTGGGAGGCCGAGGTGAGGGGATTGCCTGAGCCAATGGGTTCAAGACCAGCCCGGGCAACTTGGCGAGACCTCGTCTCTACAATAAATTAAAAATTAGCCAGGCATGGTAGTGTGCGCCTGTAGTTTCAGCTACTTGGAAGGCTGCCTAAGTTCAGCAGGTCGAGGCTACAGTGGCTGTGAGCATGCCACTGAACTCTAGCCTGGGCACAGAGTGAGACTCTAACCAAAAAAAAAAAAAAAAAAATTGGGAAGTGGAGGCAGGAGGATTGCTTGAGGCCAGGAGTTTGAGACCAGCCTGGGCAACATAGCAAGATTCTCTCTCTACAAAAAATTTAAAACATTAGTGGGCATGGTGGCGTGCACTTGTAGTCCCAGCTACTCAGAAGGCTGAGGCAGAAGGATCATCTGAGCCTAGGAGGTAGAGGCTTTGGTGAGCCATGATCATGCCACTGCACTCCAGCTTGGGAGACAGAATGAGATTCTGAATCAAAAAATAATAATAAGCTGGGCTCGGTGGCTCAGCCTGTAATCCTGCGCTTTGGGAGGCTGAGGTAAGTGGATTACCTGAGCCCGCGGGTTCGAGACCCGCCTGGGCAACTTGGCGAGACCTCATCTCTACAATAAATCAAAAATTAGCCGGGCATGGTAGTGCGTGCCTGTAGTTCCAGCTACTTGGAAGGCTGAGGTGGAAGGAGGTTGCGGTGACCAGGAGTGGCCACTGCACTCCAGTCTGGGTGATAGAGTGAGACTCCAACTCAAAATAATAATAATAATAAAACTTAAAATAATATTGCAACATAAAAATGAAACCTGGGTGGGGCTTGTGGATGGGGGAAGCAGGGTTTAGGTGGGTCTCACATCCAAAGCTACCCAGGTGAGGCCAAAGATGACTGCCTCTACCTTGGTGCCCATGTGAGTCCAACAGGTCTGTTCCAGTCCTCATCTCCTTGAAGGCTACATCTGGTCCTTGTTGTTGGGTGTGCTGGTGAGGTGGAGGAACTAGCAATGTAGGGAAGCCTCTCTGGGGGCTGCAGAAAGTTCTGTCTGGGGCACCTGGGTTGTCCCATGTAAGCCTCACCCTCCCACCTCCTCAAGTGGTTGATCGTTGGAACGAAGAGAGGGTCATGTTTAGAGTGTATGACGTCAGTTCTGGGAAACTTTGAAAAACACCCCCAGAGAACTGATCAGGGGTCCCAACTGGCCTTGAGGCTGAAAAAGGAACAAATTGCAGTGTTATATCCAAAAGAGGAAAATGGTTGGAAATTGAATGTTCCTTGATGACCTAGTTTTTATCCATTAGGTTTGCATAAATTCAGAAGACAGGTAGCGTTCTGTGTGGTGAGGCAGGCAATGTTATTATAATTCAATCTTAGAAACTCTTTATATGTTGAGAAAATTAGGGAATGTGTGATATGAAATGGAGAACTAGTTTCCCCTGATTTACTCTTTTTAAAAAAAAATCACAACCTAATACACACATCCCCGGCATGTAAGTACCTAGAGAAGGGAAGAGAAAGTTGGGAACTGTGGGGGGACAGAGGGAGGCTCATTTGTCCTCCTGGAGAAGGGGAACAGTATTTTCCCCTGTGGGGAAAAGGCTTTGTATATGCTCTCT